CTGAAGAGATGTTACCTGTGATTTGCCTTTAGACCCTGCACATCAAATATTCAAACACTCAGTCCTTAAATACTCAAACACTTCCACTTGCCCCATTACTACTACACCAAGCTACTTCAGTCAAACACAGCTGGAAAACATCTGGGCTTGGGAAAACAAATTCACTGAAGTTTTATGGTCTTGCAAGCAAGCAAGCAGCTTTACAGCATTTCTTAGGAAATCAGATGGCAAGACCAGAGGAAGGAAAACATACCATCAAAGTGCTTGTGACTGTGACAAACAAGTAAATTCTGAGGAATTCCACGGCCATARTGGACTTCGCACTCAAGCTATGATGACAGTATGCTTCTATGACTTAGCTGTACTCACAGACATGGTCTTAAGCTAACTGCAGCAAAAGATGTGGTCAGAAGAGATTTCTATCCTCAGGCTACAGTAAAAGTCTGCCCGCATCTCTTACTGTCACTGACGGACTTGTCCAACTGCTTCTACAGCTTGCAGTAGTCTGCACTCTATCATTCAACAGACGAATTCAGAATTAGGTTTGCCTTTACAAAGGAAGCAAGCTCCTTAAAGTCTCATCAAAACTATGATTACCCACAAAGTTGTCTTTGCTCCTTGCCCTGAGGACAAGGAAAAGGTATACATGCAGCAGCATGCAGAAAAGACAATGACAAGGCAAAACAACATCAACAAACAATAGAACAAATCAGTCCTTAACACCATAATACCTGGGCTTACTTGGAAAATTTGACACTATTTAGTCAAAGATTTTCTGCAGATTAACACACAGAAGGCTTAATAGCTGTAGACAGTATCTGTTTATAATTCTTGTTCTTAATAGATTTATGTTTGCATATACAAGTGGCTGTTTTCACCTTTTTCCAGCCATGCTGATCCAGGAAGTGATGTAAAAAACAGGGAAAATTATTAAGTAGGGAGGATGTGTTCTGCTRTATTCAAACAAAAATACAACCCAATGGACCTTTCACCTCAGCATCTCTAACATCCTGCTGTAAGCAAGAGTTGCCACTCTAGAACTGAAAAAGAGTTTGTATCCCTGCTTTCATCACAAACACCACCATGGAGACAGACTATAGCATCCTTCCTCCCTTTTYGAGAGACCTCTGCCACAAATGGCGTTAAGAAATTCCAAGGTTCATCCAATCTCCAGCAAGACAAATTCTTAATATTCAGTGCTCTGCATGCAGGAAAATACCTCAAAAGGTTTACTTCTTTTTGCAGCAAAATAAGAGACTAGCTCTGGTGCTACAGCACAGCTGAAATATGCTTGACACAGAACATCCACAGGTTTAGAGGGCTTCACGATTTCCCGGTGCAGTCAAAAGAGCCATCTCACAGCCCAGCCCCTCAGCCCAAAATGCCAGGGGCAGTGCCAGTAGCACCTTGCAGACAGAGAAAGCAGCCCCACCATGGTCCTCATGTACAAGTGTGCTTTGTCACTGGGGCTTCACAACTGGGACCACTGCAGCCAAACAACGATGCACAGCAGAATGATGGCGGRGTCTGTGTTTGAAAGCAGGGCAAATCAGCCAGCACGAAAAAGAGTCYTTTGAAAAATGCTTCAGACACTGCACCATGCAGAGACATTTACTCTCCTTTGCTAGGAAAACAAGAGAAGCAACRCTGATCTGCAGTAGCAGTGTTGAGAGAGCTTTTGCATGCCCACAGCWGCATTGTGCTTGTCCATGCTGCGGAGACAAGGTGAGCACGAGGCAGGTRACAGCAGAGTAACTAATCTGGTATTTCTAAGCAGAAACACATCACACAACAGYCCAAGAGTTACACAGGAGCTTAACRGCTACAAAGAAAAATCATGCTGCTATAATAAAAATAGTGCAGAAAAGGGAAACTCCCTATGGGTGGTTCCCAGTCTAAGGCTGAAAGAAATCTTCACATCTTCTTTTACAGTAACAATACAGAAGAACTACAGCTGTGGTTGTAGTTGCAGAATGCTGTTACTGCCCCTAAAAACGATGTTATTGTTTCAGGATGAGCCACAGAGGGGAAAATATGACTGGGCCAAGGCAATCAGGGTGGAAAGGACTGCTACCTTACCAAGAAGGCAAAGCAGGACAAAAAAGACTAACCAGCTGTAAGATCCCTACTTGACCAGACAAAAGCCATATGCTACAGAAAGGTAAAACAGGACAGTGCAAGATGGGGAAATCAGGATGCACAAAAAGGATGGGAAGTTGCTGAGGGAAGGCATACAAAATGACTTTAAGGAACAACAGTGAGGGCTGCACCTTCCAGAGCAGAGCTCTGATGATGAGACTGTGACTTGTGCCAAGCACAACAGGACCACGGAGAAGGGAGGTGTTGGAAAGTGAACAACTTAATGGAACAATGCGACAGGGAGCTATGGCTGGGATGGGCAGAGGTTCTCAAGGGAAGGCATCGGGAGGTGAGGAAGGAGCCCATGGCAACTGTGACATGGGGAAAAAAGGGAAGATGAAGCTTCATGGGGTGGGGATGCCCTTAAGGATTCAAATACCTGGTAAATGGGGTGGCACCAGGGAGTAGGAGCCCAACTGATCTCCATGACTCCAAGAAAATATTACAGAGAGTAAGGAAGGAAAGAAGTAAGCTGAGCCTAGGCACACCGATCATTGCTAGGTAAAGTTCCTTGMAGGTCTGAACCTGGTAATGAGAAGAAGGTGGCCTAAGCAGGGCTGCTAGGGAGGGATACTGGAAAGGTTCAGAGAAGCAGTTTAGGGATGGCACCTGCCAGGTGGCTGGGGGCAATTCCAAGAGTTCACGAATGAAATTTGTGGGGCACTGGCAGATGCTGAAGGGCATTTAGGGAGCAGCTGCTAACGGGCACCTGAAAAACAGTTCATTACGGGGATGCCTGAGGGGCATTTTGCGGTTCACAAGTGCATGGAAAGCTGTTGGGGATGGCTTATGGGGGCCTCTGCGGTGTGGGTTGGGGTTTGCCAGCAGGACCTTGAGGGGTGGTTGGGCTGTGACCGAAAACGACGGGATAAATAAAACTCTCTAACATAAACACTATTTGTTACAATTAAAGATTTTCCAACCGGGGCAAAGGGGAAATAGCCGAGTCCCTGAGGGGCGCTTTGGCTGCTGTGAGGTGGTCGCCGGCAGATCCCTGAGGGGTCGTTGTGAGGGGAGAGGAGCGGGGTGTGTGGGGGATCGCCGGCAGCTCCCTGACGGACGGGTTCGGTTGCAGGCCCCCGGGGGAAGCTTCGGAGGTCTCTGGCAACTCCCAGAGCGGCGGCCCGGGCTGGCGGCGGCGCGGACCGTGCCGGCCGGGAGAGGGAGGCGGCGGCACCGAGCGCAACGCGGAGGCAGCGCCAGCCGCAGCGCCGCCGGGAGCCCGAGGCCCTGCCCGCGGCCCCCTCCCGCCGCACGCACCTTCTGGCGGATCTGCCCGGACGTCGAGACTTTGCGGATGAGCTTCTGCAGGGAGCCGGGCTCCTGCTCCGGCTCGCTGTCCGACGACTCCTCGGGCGCGGCGGCGACCGGCTCGGGCTGTGTTTGCGCGACCCCCGCCGCCGCCATGCTGCACCGACCGGCAGCGCGCCCGGCGCCCCCTACCGGCCCCGCGCGCGCGGCGCCCCCCAGCGGCGGCCGCTGCACATGGTGGCGGAGTGGGAGGGGCCGGGGCGGGCAAAGGCCTGGCCGCCGTCACGGGACAGGCACGTCCGTCCTGCTTGTCCGCCTTTCTCTGCGATCCGCCTGAGCACCGATCGCACCGGCCCGGCCGGTTCCCGGCATCCCCGTGGCTTCTTGGAATCTCAGCAAAGGTGTTAAGTGCGGCCGGCTCTGCTGARGCGAGCCCGACAGCCCGGACAGCGGTCCCCATTCCTCTGCATTCTTTGTGGCTACTCCGGCACAGAATCATTCGGGTCGGAAGACATCTCTGACGTCATCGAGTCCAACCTATAACCTATAGCACTGAGTGCCACGTCTCGCCATTCCTTGAACACCTTCAGCAACGGAGACTCCTCCACCTCTCTGGACAGCCCCTCCCAAAAACCTCCCCGTGTTCCCAGGTTTTAATGCAATGCTACGAGCACATCCTCCCGCCCCAGGCTCTTCCTGCCTTGCCGCCCCGCCTCGAAGGGCACTTCAGGGGCGCTGAGGCTGTAGGACTCCGCTGAGGGTGAGGCTACCCCCTCGCCACAGCACCCCCACCGAGCCTCACTGCATTCCCAAGGGCCAGGTAACTACCCCCACCTCTCTAATATCCATCAGCTACGGGCACTGTGGTGTTCCTGCTGGCATCTCACGGAGATGTGTGAGGGGAAAGCGTCTGTCAGCAAACCCACCCGTCCACTCACGTATTTGCTCCAAGTTGTGCCCAAACACAGCAGGCCCAGAGCGCATCCCCTCTCCGGGAGCTGGCAGGCTCTCTACAAATGGAGTCCCACCACATCAAAGCCACGGAGTCAGGAAATTGGATCTCCCAGCTGTAAACAGGAGGAGCAGGCCACAGGTCTGACTCGGTAGAAGATCAACGTAACATCAGAACCAGAAGAAAGGGAAGATAAAAGGCAAACAGTTCTAGCTGGAGACTTCTTTTGTGCTGAAGGAAGTCAGCATTGGCTGACTGAAGGACCAGAGAATAAAAGTTCGGCTTGTCCCGCAAGACAGGGAACTGCAGGAACCAGCAGAAAGCCCTCACTGCTCTCTGAGCAAATCTCCAGCATGAGCTACAGAGTGCTTTCCCAAACCCAGACAAAAAATAGATTTCATCACCATTTAACAGCCATTTCCCCCTACCTGCACAGCAGAGTGCAGTATGATTTTGTCACTTAGCTTACAGCAGTCATYACCACAGCTGAATTTATAAGGAATGTCTGGCAGCTACAGAGATCCCTCACAAAGTTGACATATAAGAAATTTAAAAAAAAAAAAGAAAAAAAAGGAATCAGATCTCTCAGTTTACAAGTCCCATACTCACAGGTCCAGTAGCCAGAAAGAAAACACCTTTGTGGAGAAAGATGCACCAGCATGTTCACAACCAGCAATTTGTTCAACTTTATTGAATCTTCTGTGTGTTCTCGAGCCACCAACAAATTAGTATAAAAATACCAGAGAAAAGCCTTCCTAAACATCCAGGTGCAAATACCTAATTCTCGCCCAAAGCTGAAATCACACAGAAATTATCCTAATCACAAACATCAGTAGGTGGCTGGGTTCCTTTAGCAGCAAAGCACATGGTGTAGAGCAAACATTGTGCTTCTTGCAACTTCAGCTAAGGTGAGRTATCTGTCACTAACTGACAGCACTGAGGACCAGGTGTATTAGGGGAGAGCAGTGATGGAACCCTCAGGCCAGCTGTGGCCTAAAGTGACTGCTTCCAGCATCTTAATCATGACCAGTTTACAGAAGCAAACAGATATGTGTGAAATTCTTAATTCCATTTACCAGAGTGTAGGGTGGGAAACATAAATATATATTAATAAATGTGGGCCCTGCATTCAGATTTTCCAGGAGAATTTCAACAGGGACACTGAAAAGAAGATTTAAAGCAAAAATGAGAAAATTAAATACCAGTTGTTTTATATGCAAAAGATAATTAGCTGATGCAACTCASTTCAGATAAACCTAAGTGAGATTCAGGAAAAGATACAACATTTACACGGATAATGAGAATATCCAGATCAACATGAGAAAACAAAGTTTGCAGAACACAGTCTCATTTCTTATAGCATAAACAAACTGCTGGCAGATGGATGTTGGGAAAGGCTCCTCAGGGAAGCCTGTGCCATAATTTCCTCCTTATTTTTCTGCACTTTGTTTTGAAGCAGTTACCTACAGGAAACTAGATTAAAAACAGGCTCTGTCTGGACTTGCATTTCTGTTTGGGGTTGTATATAGGGAGCTTTAAGCAATTCATGGACAGTGCACATTTATCTCATCTTTAATAACATGGTTGTTAAGCATATTGCTAAAAAGTTAATACTGTGTATCAGCATTGTCTCTGCTGTCAGAGACAACTTGCAAGACATTTAATCATACAGAAGGTAAATGTAAGCCACCTGAGGACAGTGTAAGCACTGAAAAAATTCACTGGCTGAATTTGGTAAAGCATAAATGCGAAAGCAACCAAAAGGAAATAAACTCAGTTTTGTGCAGTCTGCTGAGAACTTTGATGAGTCACCCACGGCTGCAAGCCAGCCTTCCAGGCTAGGATTTAGTTCACTGGCACTTCAAAGACACAGACTCTCACACTGAATAAAGTCCAGAGAGGCTGCATAAACCCTCATTTAAGCTTTTACCAGTGCTGAAAGCAAACAACCTTTTTATTAGGCAACCCGGAAAGCAGAAGTCATGACATGGYAGCTGTTCTGTCCTCTGGTCACCAGGTGTTGTGTCTGCCACATTCCTCCAGAGGTGAAGCTTGTAATATGCAAGATTCCTCATGGCATGTCCTCAGGCCTGATCCCTAAATGATCATGCATGAACCCAGAATATGCAGATTACTAAAAACTTAGGTCCTACATTTCTAATTGAAAGCAGACTACATAGCTCCTTTGTCAGCCTGTTCTTTTGGTCAYTCATCAGTTGAGGGTGAATTCTTGTCCTCTTCATCAGGTGTATTTTTTAGCTGCTGACGAGCAAACTCCTCAAACACCAGCTCTGCTTCACTACAATGGAAAAAATACAGTTCTTTCAAAACAATGTTACCCATTTTTTACACCAGTAGACTAGAGGAAACACAGGAGGAAGAAGAGRAGCACAGAACAGACTGGTAATATTTCCTTTGTCTCCAAAGGAATTTGGATCACTTTCCCACAGGCACCATCTTCACTGGTGCTATTCTAGCTAAAATGAAAAGCAGTTGATTGGGCAGRTCAAGACACAAACTGAAGATGTTTTCATCTGTACTGAAACACATCCATTCCAGATACAGGCTAGAGCCTGAAAGGGGCTTTCTCCAGGAATAAAATGTGAAACCTTTCGTTTTTATTCCTTCTATACTAAAATAGAGGCACATGGTCAAACCTGTTAAGTTCCTGAAACTTTGAGCTGCAGGGCATCAGCTGGAACACAAACACACACCTTCTGGGTGTGTTTGTGCTGTGAGGCAAAACATGATCTCTTMATCTATCTTCACATGGGCAGTCACTGCTGTTTAACTCAGAAGCAGTCATTATCAGGCCACAGTAACTTGTTCACTTTGGATTTTAAGCTGGGCATCTGTTGACAATTTTGAGTTTTTAAGAAGAATCAATACACAAGTGCAGCTAGAATGTGAAATACTAAAAGAAACTTACCCATCCTTCCCTGCAGTCATCAGCATGCAGCAAAGGAGGAAAAAAGGCACAACAGGCAGTCAGAACAGCAATGCTAAAACATTTGCAAAATGTTTAATGCAAACTTGTATAGACTGACAAGTCAGAGCAATAATAAGAAACAGGACCTGCAGCAATATAAGCAGAATCCCAGAAAGTCTCAAAATGTGCATACATACATCTGATGAGGMAACACTTGATTTCCAAAATGGAAAAGCACTCCAGCAGTGCTGCTCAAGCCATCCGAAGGGCTGAACAATAAAGACAGATTTTCCCATATATGTTTGCTCATGGTCACATATATGCTTGCTCATGGTCACAGCTCTGTGCACACATATCTGGGAGACATCTGTGCACACACCTGGACTCCGAGCTGACAGTGCTTGAGTACATGGTGTCAGCTCTAATTGCTCTGTCACTGTGATTGAAGAGGTCAGCTGCTGAGAAGACTATGCTCTTGTTCAATAAATATGAAGGTATTACAATTAGAAGCCAAAGTAATGAGATACCTCAGGGATCTTTGATCTGATGGGTTGGTCCTTTGGGGCAACACTCCTGATTTCAACTGCCCTAAAAACAGGGCAAGACCTTTGGCATTTGTGTTTTGTTAGTGGGCTCTTTGCTAACCACACTGTAACAAATCCTGCTTGCTAGCAGGATTCCTTTGAAGCAGTTTCARCACAGCCTAAAATAAGCAGAACAGATTGTATTTGCAGGGATTTTACTRTTCTCACAGTTATTTTAGCAAGGTGTAGTCACTTCACTGGCTTAGGGTCAGGGAGTAAAGCACCTTTGTTCTACAGAAGTCAGCAGGGATCTGGGGCACTTCAGTGACTGGRTAACTTGCTACCTGAGAATTCGTATCCACAACACACACTGCAGTTAAGGGTAACCAAGTCATGAGAAGCACTACTGGAAAAGTCAGCATCAAAAGTGTGCTAAATGGGGCCACTCCAGCCAAAATCCCTAAGGATGGCTCATGTAAAGACACTCCTAATGGCATGTATTCAGACCAGGATGGTTTTCTCACAGAAGCCAAGATGAAGTCTGGAAAGCCTTGGGGTATGTATGCTTGATTGAAATAGATTTAAAATAAAACATTTAGAACTTCTAAAATTTCCAACAGACAAAGCATTATTCTCATTCAATTTTTCCTCTAATTCATATTCTTATTATTTTTTTTTAGCCTGCTCTCTTTCCCCACTTGGAAGTACTTTCCTTACTATAGGAACAGGGATATCACTGATGTGGGTGAAGCTGAGCAAGGTCCCCACCAATKTGATTTGAAACCAATTTTACAAAATGGAGTGTGTGGGGTGCAATAGGTATTGTCTTGGTTGGGCATATATTTTACTTCAGATAAATGATTACTGAGTTAATACATTGAYAGTGTGGCAGCAGAGTAGTACTTACAATATACCTAAGAGGAAAGATTACATTCAAAGCTGCACTGTTTCACTTTCAGGCTGCAATACTACCTCCAACATGTTACAACTGCACCCTAGCAGGAGTTCCACTCCAGAGTTCTTTGTCTGTCCTGTGGCTTATTTAATATTATATTAGTGAAAGATTCTCAGAAAATGGGTAGACTTTTGCTTCTTTTAATTAACATTCCAGCAGTTGTTTTGAGGGTTGGGATGGGAGGGAGATCAATGAGGTTGCAGAATACCATTGTCCTCTCTGCAGAGGGTTTTCTGGAAGCTTTTATTATGCAACCACAGAAGTTATTCTATATAATTAAAAGTCATAGAGCTTATGGTCATTTTCATTATAAACTTGCTTTTAACCTCTCTTAACTTAATGGGGTAGAAAAGAAAAAGAGAGTAGGTTTTGTTATTTTACTCAATGCTTTAAAATTTCCTAATTTYTGAAAGTCATAATACCAAAACAGGGAAGGTATTGCTTTACTATTAGAGGAGCATTCCTGGGTTTCTTGGAAACAGTCCTTCTGTGCAAGTTTAACCAGGGAGCCGATTAGTTGAACAACAGCCAAAACAAAGGCCCGTGTCCAAGACATAGGCTCACAAAAAGTAAAACATCAGGAGATGGGCAGGAAACCCCAGACCAAAGAAATCATGCTGAGACCACAGCCTTGAGGAAAACCCTGCAGGAGCTTCTGGGCTATGTACTGACTGGGAAAGGTCTTGGAAGCATGAAGAGACACAGCCCAGTTTGAATCTACCTTTACAAGAAACAGATCCCTACACCTTTTTTGTCAACAGGACGAACAGACAGACTGCCAATGTAACAGGAGTTACTTTGCCTAAAAATAACCATGTGAACCACATGGGTCCAAAACCAGTCACAAAACCAGCACACATGAAACATGCAAATCCTGGCCTAGCAGAAGACCAAGAGAAGGAAGCTAWAAATAACTCGGGGAAGGAAAGGTAGCAAGCTATTCCTTTTCTGTCTCTTCCAGGCACAGGGAAGAAAGATCAAGCAATCTGCAATAGCCATGCACTGTGACAGACATGCTGTTTACTGAGTGATGAGTGCTTCAGAGCTTGCCCACAGACAACTAGAGAGGACAAAGCCATCTGCTGTGAAACAGAGCGCACAGCACTTGCTCACACTTGCCCTGGCTTGGCTCTGAAAAAATTAAATCAGGTTCTTGGGAAGCTTACGTTTCTGAAACTCTCTATACTCAAGTCAGCCCTGTATGATTAAATGCATTGATGTTATACATTTTACTTCTGCCATAAATCATCTTGGCTAGAGGATATTCCTGCACTACAAAATAAATCATATGTGGCATAATATGTGGCATTTTTAATCCCACTCCAGCTTTAACTCCATAAGGTGGCTGCTCTGACTTCTTTCTGTTCTTCCAGCTATGCCGCAAGAGAGTCAAGTGAGCAGGAAGGTGCAATAGGTAAACTGGCCACTACTGACCTGTCAGTAAAAACAAAAGGGAGCTGAAAAAGAAGATAAGGAGTGATCTCAAAATTCCCTATGCATGCACCCCTGCCCACACCCACTGTAGAGGTTGCCTAACAAGGCAACAAAGAAAAATGCCATCCTTTGAGAGTCTAAACACTGTTGAAGCTCCATCTCTGCAATTAAGTCTTGATTAATTTYATTTCAAATTAGAATATATTTCACTAATGAAATGTGTTATGTTTCTCAGAGTTCATGAGCAAAAGTAGTAGAATGAAAAATTAAAAAGCCTGAACTCACACCTGGGAAAAGTGAGGAAGCACAGTGCATGGAAAACTACCAGCCAATAAAGCTGAAAAGCGTTTTAGTTTACCAGCTTCATATGGGAGATTGTTTTATTCCCTGTATTAAGCTCAGGCACTACATTCCAGCACAGTTTTCACATCAGCTATTCGGGCCTTCTGTTGTGCTGAAACTACCTGCATTTTTTTTTTTCAGTTTATAAGAAACTTGGTATTTCCATCTCTACAAAATGCATGGACTGTAGATGACACTTCTGACAGCTAGCTCCTAGAAGACTTTGATGTAGCAAACAATATATGGGAGGTGCCTCTGGTAAGAGGATGTGCTGGGGGAAGTGATCTGAGAAATATTGTAGCTTTCCACTTCCCTTGTAAAGTCTTCTGCCCACATCCTTTGGAGTGTACTGTATAAAGGAGTACATCAGCCCTCCTTTGAATTATCTTAGAAGGGAGAATTGCCTGATTTCCATTTTTCCTCGTATTACAAATGCTTCTGCCAGAAGTATAAAGTAATAAAAAGGGTGTTGTGGCATTTTTAACACCAAAAAAAGTCATGTAAAAAATTCACACCACTCTAAAAGTGTASAATTCTTTACAGTTTGGATGAGCCTTGTTAGAAATTTTCGAGCTTTCCTTGGTGTCCATGAAAGCTYCTGAGCAGCCCACAGGCACTAGACGGCCCCTGCCAGCCACACTCCTGGGATCACCAGTGCCATCCCAGCCCCTCACCACTTCTGTGCCAAGAGATGTGCTGGCACTGTTCACAGCAGGGGCCTTCCCAGGTCAAATGAGTTTCCTGTAGTGCAACTGTTACAGGAGAAATATAACCTACCTTTGCCCACTCCAGCACATGCATAATTAGTAAAGCCTGATGCCCAACCAGAGCATCTGAATGTGGACTGGATCACCAGCTCTCTTCTCATCGCTCACACTTCATTTCTCTAACAATTTCACACTGTAAGGACTCAAGTCACCCCTTCCTAATGTTCTAGTATTGAACAAAGCATGCGTCTCAGGGTAACTCTTCTCACAGGTTCCACCATCACTTTCCAGTTTCATGTTCTTAGAAACAGCAGCTTTAGGTCAGTTTGTGTACAAAGAGAGAAAGAGAAAGAAAGGAAGAAAAAGCAGCACAAAAGCACCAGTGGCTTTTGTTTGAAGTCCACAAAACTCTGTCCTGGTATAGAGAGCAGGACAAGATGACTCATCTGTAACAGCCCCAGCATGGAARGGCTGGTGTGTCTGGTGGTCAAGATGCTTCAGATGTTGTACAGAAGCTTCTGATTTAGTGTGACCCTTGCTCACAGGRTCAGGTGCTCACCATGGAAGAACAGAGCAAGCCAGGACCTGAGGATGTGGGAGGATGCTCCCAACAGCCTGTGGTTTTGGCATCTGATCCCAAGCCTCAAGATGCCTGGGGAAGGCTTKCTGCTTACACTGTTATAGAGTTCCCCCACTTCCACGTACAGACCTGACATTGAAGAGATTTTCCTCTTGGATAACCACTGAACATGAAGGCCACATCACAGACACCATGAAAAATGCCACATCAAGATTACAGGGACTCAAAAATCATCAGTAGTTTTATCATCTCTTCACTTTGCTTAAAAGTATTTCACTTTGTACAGCGCTCGTGTGTTTTAGGGAGGATTGTTTTTGCTTATACTGCAATCTGGATGGGAATTGCTGACAGCTTCATGTAGAATATTTTGCACTATAGTGATGAGATTCAACTGTGCAGTGCTTCCTCAAACTCCCATTCTTTGAGCTGATTCCATAGATGAAAGATGAAAAGGGAACATGACTCATTTCCATTTTCTCCAATCTTAGCATCCCTGTTCTCCATTACTTAGTGCCTGAAGGATGATACATACATACATACATACATATGTATATGCATATACAGACACATAAACATACAGAGCAGGTCCATTCTGGAGCTTTGTAGGCTGTGAAGGCTTTCTGTAGCATAAATCACTCTAAACCTTACAATGATGAGATCTCACCAGAGCCTGTTAATGAACAAAGGCAAAAACCAGGTGTAACTAACCTGCAGGGTTCTCTTCCTCAGGATTGGGGTGCATGAGACGAAATGGCAGCTCTATGCCCACTTCACTTTAGGGAGAAGAGAGAATGCATCAGGATCCACAGCTCCACACACATACTTGGTTCWGCCTCCTTGCCCCTCAGGTCAGTCTGAGTCCTCAGCTCCAGCTTCACCCATTCTTTCWTATTTTTCTAATCATATTTTCCCCTCAAAAAAAGTAAAGATCCAATTTCTCCTGCAAATATCCCAGGCATATCCACTTTCATAGACTGGGTTTATTATGTTCTGAATGTACTTGCATGTATATTAAATCAAAAGATATTTTTTGTAATTGCTTCATTTTTACATCCGAACCACAAATATCTTGCTTCTAACAGCTTAAGAGATACTTAGTTTTTTTTTAGGGAAGTGGGAATAGGAACAAGAAAGAGAATAAAAGATGCTAACAACTAGGACCACATTACCTGAAAAGGCAGATGACATTTACCTGGAAGTGAGGTCTCCCAGCATGCTACAAAAGAAAACAAGGAGAAAAACTAAGCATATTCAAAGGCCTTTTCATTCTGGTGATCCAGCAAATGTTTTATTGTTGGACTATGGAAATCACTTTCCTCATATACTGTTCTCTACTTGCCACAAATTCAACTGAACTTTTTCTTACAAAAAGTAGTCTTAATTTTTCATGTCATTCCCATGGAGAAAAAGTCTAAGTTTTTGAACTCTTGACCAAGTGTTGGTCATGGCCCCTTTTCCAAGAGCCTAAAGATAAGTGGATGACCACAGAAGGCAGCATGCATTTTATCATGGTTTAGGCAAATCTTTTATGCACTTTTATACTAGAAAGAAGGACAGACGAATGAAAKACAAATGTAAACAGTGACTAGCATCAACTGAGAGTCACTAGCCTTGTCATTTTTTGCACTGTATCCTGGAACTAGCTCACGTTGATATCAYCAGCTTTAACCCAGAAAGCTGGCTGAGTACAAAACCTGAGCTACTGCATTTATGACTGTCAGGCAGATGTTTKCACCTTTTGCTCTGGGAGAACAGCAATACCAAAATAAAGGTTCCCACAAAGTTTCATCTCACTTTTCACAAAAGAGGTTATGGCTTTGAAACAAAAACTAACAATGCAAACAAGAGGTTCCTACTTCAGCCATAAAATTATATGGTATTTAAGGAGAGTAATACAAACCCTTTGGCTCAGGGCAAGTTCTAATGATAGGTGAAGATTGATTTCCAGGTAATTTATGCTTTACAGGGAGCCTCATGTCCTAGGCTTATGTGCCCTTTCTCTTGGGGTGAACTGTTACACTCTCTCCCCATCCCTCAATGACATAAACCCTCTATACTCTCCCCTTCCTTAACTCTGGGCACATGTAGCAAAAAGTCACACTTACCCTGGAACAGTGAGCTTCACTTTGACCTTGTAGGAAACCAGAATCCCCATCACTGTCTTGTCTATTCCATCTTTAATGCTGCCAGAGAAAACAGAGCAGTGTGAAGTGGTACAGCAACATAGCAACAAGACTGCCTGAAACAAGAACTAGGGGAGCATCCTGAAAGTGGGAGGGCAGGCAAGCCTCAGGTACAGCCAACACCTCTCCAGATCTGTGATCATTGTTCACCCTGAAAGAACATGATGGGGTAAGTAATGCTGCTACATGTACCCATCTGGGCACACATTTTCAAAGTCCTGAGAGAAGTGTCTCCTCCATCCTCCCCTCTTGTCTGTTGGCACTGACCTCAACATGCCAACAGATGCAGGAGGAAAGTGTAAAGCACAAGTCCTTTATTAACTCACAAAGAAACCCTCTATACTCTCTCTGTAGAGTTTTCCATGGCTCCTCCACCAATGCTCTCTTACTAGCAGCAGAATATCTCCTTTTATAGCAGCTACTTTCTGGATTTTTCATCCCAGCTGGAGAGCATTAAGCTCTCACAAATGCTCTTCAGCTGGTATCGGAGCATCTCCTTTTTACAGCAGCTGAGTTCTTTTACCTTTGTCTAATTAGTTACAAATCTCTATTTCTCCTTATAAAAAGTCACACACAGAAGTTRCTTATCTATAACATTCAAGGCCACAGCGAGAGGYTGCTCACAGTCTCTCRCTGGCTTCCCACACTTCTCTGTAACTCTCCCACCTGGGACTACTTAAAACTTCACTCACATAGTACTAGAAGCCAAGTTGGTATCCTCATCCTTCAGTTTTCCATCCAGAGCTATTTCCCGTGTCTCCCGGTTATTTGCAAGCAAGGGCAAAAGTGTCAGTGTCTTGGTCAGGCTGCTGTTGGGCTGCACCTTTTCTCTGAGAACAAGAGGSGAAGTGATTTGCTACACACCCAACTAGTCGAATTTTGAAACAGATTACAAAGCTGCCCAAAAAGAGAGGAATTTATCTGTCCAAATTCAGTTGTCAACAATGCAGATATCYACCTCTAATCTAGTCAGCAACATTCCTTTTAAAATCAGCAGAGAAAAACAAGCACTTAGAGAAAATGCTTAATTGCATATTAAGGCAGAAAAGTAGGTTAAAACCATAGAATAGTAAAATAGTTTAGGTTGGAAAAGTCCTTTAAGATTATCAAGTCCAACCATTAACTCAGCAGYGCCAAGGCCACCAATGAACCATGTTTCCAAGTGCCACATCTATTWTTCCTAATATCCAAAACTACACCTCCCTGGATGCAGCTTGAGGCCACTTCCTCTGTGCTGAAGACCTCTGAATTTGGACAAAATGAATCTTAGTTGGGAGTACCAAATACTGAATGGAATACATGTCCCTATGTTACAGAGCAGAACACCAGACAAATATAAAATATCTGTGTGTGCCAACCCTTCTCACAGTGTAAGGTTCAGAGCTGCACTGCCATTGGTGAAAAAAAAGCAAGTGGTTCTCCATAACATCAACAGGCTCAAGATTTCCAAGGGCTTTTTCAGGCCAGAAGGAACCAAATTAAACACTCTTGCCCAAGCAGGAGTGTCCAAGACTTCCTCTCAAATAGCAGCACCTTTCAGGAAAGTGTTGCATCTCTAAAGATTTCCTGCAATGGGAAACCTTCTGCTGCCCCACTAAGCTTATCTGGTAGGTAATTACTCTTCAAACCTCTTCTGCAACCTCCTGATTCCCTGAAAAAACGTAAGATCCCTGATGCTCTGTGAAAAAGGGACCAGCTGCATCCACAGAGTATGAGTGGTATGGCACACACGAGGTAAGAGAAGTCAGCACGGTAACAGCAAGAGACTTGTCAGACTGTAATTATGAAAACCTTCCATTACTGATGAGGAGGTCAGTTAAAAGGGTGCAAAGGAGCAGGAGCATTCACTCACTGTGCTTCCTCAGAAGCCACCACTTTGGTATAGAAGTCACTGGAGTACAGCACCACGTTGGTCACTTGCTCCACTGAGGAAGAAAGGAGAAAGCAGACGCTCAGGTGTGTGCATGCACCACAAACAACACAGTTGCTCCCATCCCGAGTTCTAGGAATGGGAAACATGGTGAAGACAGCAGGAAAACCCAGCTATTCAGGGCCTGAAGGGACCACCAGGTCAGATAGCCTAATCTGGACAGAGACCAACAGTATATCAATGTCCCACTTCCTTCTCTGTTTGGGTCTGCTTTTATCTCCAGTCCTGATATCTCTTGTGGGCCTACAGCCCATGCATGTGCATTCAGGAGACAGCATCAGCACAGACTGCGGTCAAGAGCCTGTGGTAACAAATGGCTTATATTCTCCAATCCTACACAAAATACAAGGTAATTCTGACTGAAACACTGACGAGGAGAAAATCTCAGACCAACAAGGTCTTGTTAAGCCTAACAGAGGCGTATCAGCCTAAAAATATCTGAGAACCACAGTGCATCCCAGGCTGGCACTGAAATAGCTTTCGCTGCTACAGTTCTGTAGGAACCTCAGCCATTTTGTTCCCTCCATGCCTTCTCTCTTCCATCCTTTGTCTTTCAGATTGTCTTCCTCAGCTCTGCAGCTTGCGTGATGAAAACATATAGTCCCACAGATAAAACACAGGCACCGCACTGAAGCTCAGCCCCCGCCCTCAGCATCCTCAGGAAGAATGCTGGCAGAGTGGCTGTTTCTCACACCACCAGAGCTTTCTGGAATGCGAGTCAAAGCCATATGTTATCTAGGCACATTCACAGCAGGAGCACCACACTGACAGAGAGCTTTTTCCACTGACCTCTCAAAAAGGGTGGATTTTCCCCCACTTTTYGCACACTGCATTGCCCACTGCAGGTGCTAGACCCTTTCTCTAGAGGGCACAATCTGGTGCCTGAAATTAAGAYAAGTAACTAAAAGAGTCAGGAAAAAAGCTGCAGCACTACACTTGATGAACAGCAAGGAAACAGCAACACGTGGGGGGAGGSACAAATTCCTGATATGCCCAACTGCCTTTTTAAACTGTTACATGCACTAAATCTGGTTCTGTTTCAGTCCTATTGCACTCAAAGAATCCCAAGCAACAATAAAAACATACCCTGGACTTTGATCTTCTTCACTGTTTTCTCTGTGCTGTTGTTGATGGTGACAGTGACTGGAATGGGCTCGCCATGGTAGTATATCTAGAAGGAATGTGATGCTCAGAAATCCAACCAGAAGATTTCTTCCAAGCCCCAAACTCCTCTAGTTCCCTGATTACACCTGACAGAAGCCAGATAGGGGAAGATGACCCCTCCCAGCAATTCATGGTCCTTACTTCAATGACTTCAAATGTGTTTGGGACAGGGCTGCAGACACCCCTAGCAGTAGCCACTGACAGAAACTACAGTAGGGCCCTTGTGTGCTGGGACAAGTCTGAGAAAGCAGCAAAATGCCCATTGGCCTGCAGACACTATGATGTCCCCTGGGGCAAATGCCTCCTCACCTCTTTACTGAGGCAAGCTTTCAGGTGCAAGGGCTTGTTGGACATGAAGAACTGCCAGGTGGCCTCTGCACAAGGCTGAGGTCCCAGCTGCTCTGGAGCATACTGCACCTTCCGGATCAGCAGACGTGCAGAGTTCCTGGGGAGAGGCAGAGGACAACAAGGTGACAACTGGTGCTTGGCAGAGGCAAGAGTTCTGCATTCCCATGTGCTCACACCCAAGAAATCACTCACAAAAGGGAGGTAAAGCTGAACAAGCAACTGAGGTGCATCACTGGACCACCCATCCCCTTTAAGGCAAAGCTGAATGCATCCTGTTACCTCCTATGAATTCTCTCTTCCACATTATCTGTTGAGAAAGCTTTCACCTCAAAGTCCACACCACAACTCTGCCAGAGAGAGAAAGGCCAGCTGTGAAATCAGGATCAGAAGACAGGAACRTCTGCAGATGTTTCAGTATCTTTCTGCACACCAGAAACTGMCAGACTCCTGCCAGCTCCAAATTCTTCTGGCCTCCCACCACTGTCACAGACAACTGGTGCTGGCATATCCACCTGTTCCATGGTGCTTCTGACAAATAAGGCTTAATCCCACCCTCTGAAAGATGACATCCCTACTCCTGAAAGGTTTCCTGTGAGAAYAGTGCTGTAGAGGACACATCATAAGACTGACTAGCGTGCAAAGCTCTCYACCCCACCCTGAGTTTCTGAACTGAATTTCTGAGTTGGCTTTGTAATGCCAATACCAGCATCTAAGGAGTGGAAGTGATCAGGCCAAGCTAACCTTTGCTTTAACAGGTTTATAGCATCACTCTATAGCACTGTCCCAGCCTGTGCAAGTCCCATATAACTGTCTACAGAGACACTTTTGCTAGAATATCATTATCTGGCAAAAACCACAGCTTATCCTTTTTGCACTAGATTCTATGACCCTCATTCCGCCTTGCTTAGCTGATTGGCTACTTCTGCTATCCAGACAAGCATCCAGCCAAGTATAAAAGGAGTATTTTTAACAATAACAGAAACCTTGCAGAACATACCATTATTTAGTGACTTTCACTCCAGGGTTTTTGTTCTGTTTACACATACACAGCTCTTCTCTGCATTTAATTCAGAGCAGGTCTTAACACATGTTATTTATAGCAATCTATGAGATTTTAAGCCCTCAGTCTCCTCTTCTCTTATGTAGCCTCATAGGCACAATCATTTTATGAGCAGCCAACCCACAAATCATGGGGTAGTTTTAAGGAAGCTATAGAACTGCAGATTTTGTAGTCTTGCTATTTGTCTCATTCCCATTCTTATTTTGAGGATGTCAGCTCCAGTTCTGTGACACACACTTGTAGCCCTTAGTTTTTGACATTTGTGGCATAGCACAGTAGAATCAGTATCACCTTCTCCTATTCTCAAGGCAGACAAATTCACATGACTTTTTTCCATCTGACTTTCCTTAACCATGATAAGCACAACTGTCCCACTGGTCTCACCTTATCAACATCACGAGGTGCAGGCTGCAGACAGACTGAGCAAGGCAGGTAGTCTGGAAACTGTGGGAGAAAGAGGAGAAAATGCCCCAAAGCAACAGTACACAGATGTTCTAGGTGAGATGATGCTCRCAAAAGCAATCGTGAAGACAAGGAGTCACTCATTGTAATGCAGTAATTCTTTGGAATTCTGGCTAGTATACTTGCATTGTATGAACAAATCCCTCTCTTCCAAAAAAACAAATCCATGCACAACCTGCATCTCCCTCAGGAACACTAAGGCAGACATGTGACTGACAGTAATGGAAGGATTTCCTATTAGAATTTGGCAGTCAGCTGTAAAGAGCTTTTCATCTGCTTATTTGATCACAAAGTTTTTAAAGGAAAAGGATCTGGCACTGAGGCAATAAAGTATTCCAGCCTCTCAGGAATGGGAAGGCAAGGGTATATGAGCCATTGCCAATGAGCAACAGCCATTGCTGACTCCCTTACCTTTTCCAGGAAAACACTTTTCACCATGCTGTGATCACTGCACAGTTATGACCTTCTTGCACATTACCTCTCAGGATCGCAAGAAAAAAAACCATTGGTACACCACCTGTCACTCAAAACTGGAACTTGAAGAACATGAATTCACTGTCAATTTTCATCTTCAGTCCATCACCAGGCCACAACAGCCTGGTAAGTACAGACAAGAAGAGAATCAGAGGCTCTTCTGGGACACTTACTGTAAAGAAAAAGGGATAAGCATTTTTCCCCAGCTTCTTTAGCAGAGATTCCTGCAAGTGGGTGAGAGACTCCAGCTTCTCAGCAGGTGGGTACACCTGAACCCTGGAGAAGAACAGGTCCCGGCGGAAAGTGAGGCCAATGATATCAATGTCTTCCTGGCCATAGCGGAATGCACAGGTGAGAGACACATACACTAGGAAGAAGCACAGGACAGGTGAAACATGCAGCAGGATAACAGTGCAGTCAGGCTGGGATGGGGACATCTCCTGCACTAGGGAGACATGGAAACTCATTTCAACACTTGCATAAGCCAAGTGAGTAGTTATCCCATGTGTAACAACAGACATTGCATTGATAAGCCCATTCACTGGGGAAGAACTACATTTGTACCCTTGAAAGAATAATAAGGTTCTACCTCAGCATCTCACTCAGAAAGACAACTAACAATTTCTGAGACATTGCATAAAGTCTCAAACCTTTTCTCCCCTTGGTAATAGCAGGATCCACCAATACAACACCATCTGAAAGTGGAAAAAAATCAAGATTAACAGAGGATAAGCAGGATTGAGAGCAGGAAGGGTAGCACATAACCTTGCAGACATACCTACGGGTTCCACATTCCCTATGTTGTCAATGAAGTCCCGCTTTCCCAGGTAGATGGTCAGCTGTGGGAAGAGGATGACCACAATTGAATTATAAAATGTTTCTGGTTGTGTGTTGAGGGAAAGGGGACACACACACATCAGAGAGCTATAAATCTTGCAGAGATCAGAACAATTCCATTTGAAATGGAATTTTTATTTTTCTCCAGCAAACATGCAACCCCCACCAAACTCAACAGGATCATTCACATGCCTCAAGACATCAGAACCAAAAACCTGATCCAGACCAGCTCCTAAAAATACAACACAAATAGCTGTGCATGGGACAAAGAAGTGTAGATTTAAAGATTTTTGGTGCCGTGAGGCTGGAAAGACAATTAATCAGCTTAGTTTTAAGCATTTACCAGCAGAAGTACAACCCAAGAGAAGAGTGAGGTGAGCTGCCTTCCTTTTCTATTATAACACATGAAAAGTTTGCCCTGAAAACTGTTTACATCATCTCCTCAAACTTAAGTGCTAAATATGGTTCATGCTCCTTCAGAAAAAAATAAAGGGGATGGGAAAGAGCTTTCCAGCAAGTCTCCAGTCCGACTATAGGTAAAACTCAAACCTAAAYAAGCCCCTTATAACAGTACTCACAGCTTTGTCACGGGTGCTTTTCCTGAAGACTATTTGTTTTTGAGGAGAACCAGCATTCTTCCCACCCTTCATGGTCTTTTGAGACTCAGGGCAGCTCATGGTCAAAGATGGGGATGTGACTGTGGGTGAATGAAGCTTTTCTGCTCCAAAATGTCCTGCCCCAGATGCCTGGGAAAAACAGGTGGAAAAAAGCAGTGGGTAAAGCACTGTATGCCTAYGCTGTTTCATTCATGCCTATGCCTCACACATCCAAATGGCAGCTGTGTCTAAAAGCTACAAAGGCGGTTTGTATTGATAAAGAGTCAGACCAATCCCCAAACTAGAACTCATCTGTCTTGCTGCATTTTCCTCAACCAGAACCCAGTGCAACCCATTATGAGCAGAGTAGCATTGAGCTCACACCAGAATAGACCTTAGGAATAAAACAGCCCAGCCACCTTCCCAGAAAGGCAACGATTATACTTAGGGGTAGGGCACAGCTTGCACCTGAGGGATAAAAACAAGATGGAATAAAAATTTTTCAGGTGGAGAAAAAAAAAGGAGGGCGAGAAAAGGGGGAAAAAGAAGAGAAGGTGGGAAATAGAAGGGGGAAATAGAACAGAAGGGGTGGAAAAAAGAAGAGAAGGGAGTAAGAGAAAGAGAAGACCACAAGGGCACAAAAGATATCCAGAGAGGGAAGTTTAGAAAACCAAAGTGGTACAAAACAGAGAGATTAGCTTTTCAATTTTTTTTTTGTAAGTCAAAAAATAGCATTCAATTAATGATCAGACATCAAATTCAAAGTAAGGTGAAGCATTTCTCCAGTTAACAGAAGATTCAAGGTGGCTCTGGAAATCACCAATATGTATTAAATCACAGGATTAGACACATTCACARAGAAAAGGCTTTTGGCAGCTGTTGGATGATGATCCAGGAGCAACCTTAACCCTGTAAGGCTCCAAGACAGAGAAGCAGCATCAGGGAAGGACAATGCCACATGTGCCCTGTCCCTACACTCCTCACCATCAAAGCTGTGTGAATGAGAGCTCTTTGTTAGACAGACCCTGGCTCTGATAGTGTGTGATTCTCCTTGCAGTTTGCTCCCATTCTATTTCTCAGCTTGCTTTCCCATTTTAAAACTGCTTCAAGAATAAAACAGTTTCTAGGGCTATTTGCAGACCACAAACCATAGAAAAAGGAAATACTTGGCTTCTTGGAAAGCTGGAAAAAATGTAAGACATTATAAACAGACTATACACATCATAGCATTTCTATTTTTATGAAGTAAGTTTTTCAAGCCCAGACCAGTATTTGTTGCTGACTAGACATGCTATTAATGCTGTAGACTGAAATAAACACATCAGCAAATAACATTAAATACCTTGCTGTGTTCCAAATGGCACAAAAGTTCCACGGACAGCAATAGGAACTTCTAAATTATCAAAGAAAGACGAATTTTCCAAGGCAGCTGTGTCTTGTGCTTCTTAGCATTTACCAGAGAGAATCACTGCCCTCTTCACAAACAAGGAAGACAATTTGTAGGGGATTTGAAAGCTTGTCTCYCGTGGTGTCCATCCAGGATTTCAAGAATTAATCCTTCTCCAAGAGCAAATATTGTACCTGAGCTAACATTCAACTGGAAAGTGGTTAAGTCAGCAACATAAGGCATTACCTAATGAMACTAGGTAGTCAGTGAAGCGGTCTGCAATGTCCTGCTCACAAGTACTGCAAAGACTACACACTTATGTAGCACAGGAGAGGCTAATGAAAGCAGCATTATTTATTTGAAAGCTCTATCTCCTCCTTCCTAGACCTGCGAGACATCCAGCCTGGCAAGAATCTGAAAAGACAAGAGCCATTAATGAAAAAGAGAGTTTATAAAACTAAAATGCCATTTTGATGGACTGTGAAACACTGAGAACAATGCACTATTCTCAGGATCACTAAGCAATTTATATGTTACTGCCTCACCAGCATCCAACAGACATGCTGATGCAAAACACTACACTGCTGGCTGGTACAACCCCCTCCTCAATTTACTTATAAATGCACAATATCCAGTATTTAAGAAACATATTTCAATTAACTTTAGCTTAACTATCCATTAATAGCTACTTCCAAGAGTAGCTTTTCCCCCACCAATGAATTTGGCCTGGTATTTTGCACCAACACTATGTGTAACTTTGGCTTGCAAGCTGCAGGAACAGCTGTAGCTTTCCTCTGGCTGCATCTGTTCATTTGATTACAAGGATCACATGATATCCTGTCCACTTGCCAGCCGAACAGCTCCCTTCTGCTCAAGCAACCTTGCAGACACAAACCAAGCTTGCTTGTCACAATCACTGACATTTGCCTGAGTATACTGGCCTGGGTTACACAAGTTATTCTAAAAATTGAATGACAGAACCAATGTTCCTCAGTTCTTTCAGGCTTCCAGCAACATTTCATTAACTGGAAGTGGATTGTTTGGAGAGCTTAATCACTACTCTGTCTAATCAACTTTGGCAAACACAAACCAACCAGGCTGGGAGCATAGGAATTCACATGTGCCTGTACTGCAGGAGGGAAGTCAGGTCCCAATGGTAGGAAGTAGGGAAGAAACCTCAGACATGTTCTTCTCAGTCACACTTTGTAAAAGCCAAAGGGAGGAAACTGGTTTTGTTTAAGTCTGTGCTGCAGCCACTGTGGGGCTATTAGTCCTCCAGGAGAGAATGAGCATTCCTGTTGGTACGTGTACCATTGCAAACATCTTCAAAGGATCTCTCCATAACATGTGTTCCTAGTGCACCCCTTGAATCCAGAGAAAGTTGCCCAAACCACCCCCAAAACCACCTGAAGGGCAGCTCCACCTCTGGCAGCAAAACTGCTACAGCCACCTCTGCACTGCAGGTACTTTAATTAGCTCTTCTTCCCTCTGCAGGCTGAAGCAGAAAARGAAGCAATAGAAGTAATCAAAATGTACAAAAAAAAGAAAAGCTAAAATTGCTCACTAGAATTTCTTACATACCTTGATGATAAGGAACTTTAATCGAAAATGCTTAAGGACTTAGGTAGCTGGCATTATCCTTCAGCATTAACCAGCTTAATAACAGCATCAACAGGCCAAACAAAGCCCTTTGTGTAAGATCTRTGTCCGTGCTGTAGAAAAACACAAGTGTTGCAGCCTAAATTATAAACATCCCAAATCCATTCTCAGCAGAGCCTGCAGTTTTTATTATGCTAATCTCCCAATAATCTTTCATCATGCTGACTTGCCACTTTGTGATCTGCTTTCCTGCAGCAACCAAGGTCATCTGGACTCACGGCAGGTGYCTTTTCAAGGACCATCTGCCACTGCAACAAGCAGAAGTATCTTCCTTTAGAAGCCTTTGAAAACTGTTCAGAATGCCAACTTTTCATTTTTGCTACAGTTACTTCCATGAGCTGGATAGAAACTTATTTTCTTACAAGAAAAAGAGTGTGACCAGTGATGGCTCTTAATTATGGAATTTCTGTATTKAAGAGCTGAAGACTTTGCTTCATTACTCTGAAGCTGGAACCAGAGCAACATCTTCAACAAGTGGTTTTTGTGTTTTTAAAGAAACGTGCAGCTATTCCTGACTTAAAACCTTGACAAGGTAGCAGCATAAGTCTCACAGCAGAAAAAGCCACCTATTTGCTGCAGTGTTTGAAATACAGATCCAGATTTCCTCAATTCAGTAGTTTATCTAAAACATCGAAGAATACATCAACCTTTCAAGGACAGAGACAGAGGCACTTGTTCAGTGTGGCAAGACTTCCTTCAGTCTCAAGGCAGGACTCCTGAGACAGGGCAAGCCCAGACTGCACTTGCRGAACATCCAGCCCCAAGCTAAGAACATTAACCTCTTTCCAACTCTGCACCAAATCCCACAGTGGGGGTTAACACAAATCCACAAGTAACTAGGACAAGGGCAATTCAGGTTCCTCTCTGTGCTCRTTCCAAACAAGTTCTCGCACACAGATGCACAAATAAATGAATCAGAGCAGTGTGGGGTTTTAAAAGCAGAACACAGGTTTATTTACAATCAAGTTCTTATGGGCAGCTGAATAAATAAAAACTTTGCCCCATATACTCTTATTTCCCCTCTGCAGAAAGTGTCTGAACAAAAGGATGGATTGGAGGGAGCTTGTCAGAATAGCTCCCCCAACCCAGCCCCTCCAAAGAACACACTTYCATAGTAAAACACTATCGGGAAAGAAGAAAATAAAGTGCAAATAAAAAGGCAACAAAACGCTGGTGGTTTATCTTGAGGCCCAGATGATGTGGAAAGGTTTGGCTGGATAAAGACATGCCAGGTAGCTCACACTCTGTCACATCACGGTTTGGAGTACCAGAAGAGGAACAGAGCCAAGACACTGTTCTGTACAGAGGACTCCAGCGCAAATAAGAATATTGCACGTGTGCTCAAGAAGGGGGCATGTGGCCTGGAATTGYCAGCACCAAAACAATGGATTTGGGATTTGACCCCACTGCTCCCGTGTTCTACTGACAGCTGCCAGGACAGGACGGATGAACAGAAAAAAGGGACCAAACATCTGTATTCCAGGACTGGAGTCACAGGATGACTACATCCCTCATCTCTGCAGCACAACTTCTACAAGAAYCTCAACAAGCTGAACTCTCTCCTCACACCCAGTAACCAAACTGCCTGTGGTATAAACAGATTAAAAACCTCCTATTTTGTGATGCCCAAGCTGYTGAAGGGCATTTCAACACAAGGGCGCAGAAGTGCCTCAAGAACTGATACATGGAGTTCACATGACAGTACTGGAGAGCCTGTGCTGGGACCAGAATAGACCCAAACCGAGCTGATGACTCAAAGGCAGAGCTGCAGAGGCGTGGAAGACTCTCTTTAAAAGCTGTTYCCATACTTCACACTTCCTAGGATGTGTTTCAGGATCTTCTCACCCCACACCTGAACTAGGCCATTTTAACAGAACACAGGAGACAGGACATGCTTTAAGTCAGCATACACAATGACTTCTTTCCCAAGTTTCCACCTCAGAAGTGCTGTAGACAGATTTGTGTGACAGGATATTTGGCACAGCTCTCTGGGGAGGAATCCTGCCAGTATCTTCAGCTCCATGTGGTGCATAGATACTGCATATAAAGGCATGACTACATAGCATTCTCCATCGAGACAGCTAATCCCGTGCTGAGTCCGAGTGCTACAGTGCAGTTACAGTCATGAGAAGTCTCTGACTCAGGCTCCATTCTCCATTGCTTTAGAGCTTCCCTCTGAAAGCAAAGTCCACATGCTTGTCAGTMTCCTGACTCCGGATGGATCTGGACTTGGGTATCCATGCTGCGCAGCCACGGACCAGCACCACCACACACAGAGCCTTCCACCCTCCGTCAGTCAAAATTCAGACCACAGCACAGCCTTGTTTCCTTTGTCCACACTGACCACATGGGTACCTACTGGCGACCACGCAACTGCATTGATAGAAGAACTGAAAGGGAATGCAGGAATAMGATTACAAGAAAGCTGAATTCCACAACAGCACTTGGAACTGGAATGAAATACTATAATGCTCTTATTACCAGTAAAAAAACACCCCACTTTCTCAGATCTCAAGGGACTTGAGCTTTTAATAAGTCAGACCGAGGTACAATTTCTTCAGAATGTACTGAATGCACTTAGAATCATATCTGTTTAACAAGATAACAAAAAATCTATCTAATTCAATCTAGTGAATACTGCCATGAATCCACAAAGATTTTGCATATTAATAAATTGTCACACACTAATGGAGTTGCACAGCTTTGCAACTTTTAACTCTCATAGCTCAGCAAGATTCACAACCCAGATCCCCACTTTCCCTTCCCCTCACCTGTGATGCTTCGCCAGCGTCCTCTCCAACTTCCCAGTAAGCACATTCCAAACATAGAGGGCCCCATCAGCTGAGCCAGCAGCCACATAGTTACCATCAGGGCTGTGAGATCAGATGAGGTGCAGATGTCAAAGAACAATTTTCAAGCCAGAAATTTTCAGCACACATCATCATTCTACCCACAACTTCCTAAGCAAGCAACTTGGCATTAAATAGTCTTTTAGGAATTATGTATTGTCGCCCACTAATACTAAGAGGTGAAAGCACTTCAAAACAATTTCCAAGACATTGGATCACTATCTACAGATTACCTCTTGGTCAAGCCAGAGTGTACCTCGGGCAAATTACAAATTCTGCCCTAGTTTTTCTAGCTGTAATTGGGGACCAGTGCAGCCAAGCATCAGGAATCACTCTGTTTAGCTGGGGAAAGATTTATCAGGTATCTTGTTTAAATCTGTCCTTACCTGAACACAACTCTCGTCCAGTCAGAGCCACATTTGAATCCTTGGGCACTAAGGAGTTAAAATCAGATAACTGTTAACTCATTTATAAGAGATACTCACTAAAGGCAATGCTAAGGATTTCTGCATGGTTCAGAATAAACTCCTGCATCCCTTTATCCCAATTCATGTTTCTCATACACCCTCCTCTCAGTGGTACCTGAAGAAATTCTTTCCTTTAGACCACAGACTTCTAAGCCAAGCTGCCTTTAAAGAGACACATGAGAAGATTCCCTAGAGCATAACGTCGCTTTTTCTAGACATTCTAGAGAACTTTGCCACCCATGTAGAAAAAAAGTGAGGAGACTGTACACAGAGGTCCTGAAAACCACTCCAGCACTTGGGGGTAACCCATCTGAAATTCCCAGTGTTCCTGTGAAGAACACACTCACCTGAATGTCTGCCTGACAGCACTGACCCGCAGATCAATGATCTTGAGTAGATCATCACGGGAACAGGTTAGAAGCTCTGTTCGCTCTGGGTTAAGGTCCAGAGCTGTGATTCTTCCAAGCAGCTCTAGTTCTTTTACTATGCTTTCAGTCCTAAAGACAGAAAGAAGAAAAAAGGGAAGGAAAGAASAAATTAGTGAACTAGGGTACAGAAGGCAAATCAGTGCATCAAAACTTTGACTCATCCGAATGTGGGAGAGGAGGAAAAAGGATTWCTGGTTTATTCTTACATTTTGTTTCTTTCCCAAGCTACATCTCCCTTTGTGGATAGCATTTCTAGCTAAGAGTTAGACTACTTTCCTTACAACCCCACCCTGGAACAGTAAGTACTGACCAATGCAAAATATTTACAAGCAAGCAGGCTGCCTTTTCAGAAAAATAGCATCCCACTCAAAAAAATCCCAAACCCATAATACCAAACAGCATAAAAGTAGTAACAAAAGTCTCTTTCAACRGCCTTTTACAGGTCTCCTTAGCTGCCAAGCTCAGGAAGAAGAGTTTCTGAGTTCAGATTAACCTGACAGCAAACCCATAACCATTCCTACACCATAAGCTCTCTAACAATAGTTTTACCTGATGTCCCAGAAACGAATTTTCTTATCAAAATGTCCACTCATTACACACTGCTCAGTACACACAATGTCATTGCAGCTAGATCCTGCAAACACTGTTTTTATACCTAAAAACAGAGAAACCAGTGGTGACACACTTAAATTCCCATTGTCCAAACTGAAATAGACAGAAAACAATCCCTAACAATCCCYCCCACACACACACAGAGTGCCACACAGAGCAGTGCCCAAGGAGTGGCACAGGGCAAACTGTCTTAAAATAATCCTGATTAAGTCTCAAACAACGTCTCTACCCTTCTCAATCTCCTCTGCTGGGACTTTAAATGTTCCCRTGACAGCTGCTTCACTTCCACTTCATATTTCACCAGCTATAATCTGCTGCTGTTAAACAATGTGAATCTGTCTCCTTGACCTATGCTTGCAATTCAGATATCAAGGTAACCTTGAATCTCAACTGCTACCTCAGTGGAAGCAAGTTTAAGAGCCCACAGTAGAAAAGCCAACAAAATAAGGTGTTTCTCCTGAGAAAAGCCTGGATCCTAGTAATTCCTTCATTTGYGGTACTGAAATTTTTGGTATGTTTCCAAGAGACATTTCCATCCACCTCAGGGTTACAAACTCTGGCTTGGCTCCAAGTTTTTAGTGGAAGACTAAAATACCCATCCCCACACTGGTAAAAAAATAACACTTCCAAAACCATCTGCTCTCAGTGCAATAGCATTAACAGTGCTTCCTGCACACACAGGATTTCTTATTCCAGGAAACAGACAGAAAGGATTCAGTTACTTAAGCAATAACACAAAATGGATGACTGCTAGCTTTTTCTACTTTTCTACTAGAAAGAATATTCAATAATTGTTCTGATGCCAAACTGCCATGAGCACTCAGAAGAAGCACAGAACATGGATGAAAGATAGAAGTTAGGCTTCCTTACAAACTTTGCTGCGGAGGTCCCAGAGCTTGAGGGTCCGGTCGTGACTTCCCGAAACAATGCGTGCATTGTCCAGCAAGAACTTGGCTGACAGAACTTTACCACTGTGACCTGTCAGGGTGTGCTGGGGACAAGAGATTGACACGGTGAAACTGAGTATTTCCACTTGTTCAACTTGTAATTTGCATGTCAACTGCATTGTTTGGCAGAAAAAAAAACATCTATTGCAGTTAAAGAGATCAACMCTGAGTAGGAGTGTCAATTGTTAGAGTCCAGCCTAGAGCTGGGAAATACAGGTCACCTTTGGCTGCAGTTTCTCCAGTGACTCAGGAACCTTCCTCAACATGCTGTACACACACATTTGATGCACAGATGGCAACTGCAGCACASCCTTGCAGGACAAACTGATGATAAAGTTATTAAAGAATGGGTTAAAGAATGCTGAAAAAGGAAATTGTGCTTTTCTGCTTTCACATGGACCTTCCCTCAAGGACACAACA